ATAATCGCCATCCCTATATACCCTATAAATGTGTATAAAGAGGAACTTCACATGTTATAAAAACATTAGATTGCGATGTCCACATTTCTGCCAACCGTGGTGATTATTGAAATTTATAATAATTGTAGGAGCGCCTCATCATCAGCCTATAAGTGCCAACTGCTGAGCAAAGGTCTCTTCTGAGAAGGTTTGAGCATTAATTAATCACTATGCTTGCTCTTGGCGGATAAGCGATTTCAAACGTATAATCAGAAATTATAAGTCCAGGTTTCCTTACGATGTTTTTTTTCACCGTATGTCAGTGGTGTCTAAATAATCATAGAAAGTACATATAACTCGGAAAAAGTCACATTGGTACTTGTCAGGTTCCAAACCCGCATGCATGAGACGCTGCCTTAAGCTCTGGGCCACCATGAGAGAGATAGGCTTCGGCACTAACCTACCGGCTTCACCAGCGAGGACCAACGCAGTGTCGCTTATATTGCTATAAATGTGTACCTAAATCTAGCTTTTTTTCGTCCGTCTGTCCTAAAACAAACATTCTATCCTTTTTATTCCGTTTAGCAGTGCAAGCAAAACCATTCACAAACATAGTATAGTTGATCATTTTTACTTTCAAGACTCGAAAAATATGTGACACTCAATCTGACAGCTTTATTTCCCGCCATTGAGAAACGTCAAAACAAAACGTAATAAAAAAAATTAAAGGTCTATTTAAATAAATAAATAAATGAATAAATAAAAAGAAAAAAAAATCCGAACGAATTCCATAAACAAATAATAAATATTCGATATTTAAATTAACATCGATACCAAGTATCACTCGCATCTATCTGTTCTGTTTAAAAAAAAAACGTTACCATTTCCTACCATCGATGGTAAAAAGCGAATTGAACTTTTGTAAACAAGGAATAAGGTTTCAAATTCTTTGTTTATTTTCGTGCATTAATTGGTAGTTGGTATTACGGCCGGCGCCAAATATGGAGTCTACAAAGGGCAGGTTGATTCTTTTAATAAAATATCATCAGCGATGCACTGATGCGAAAATTATATGCTTTTATGAGTACTTTATGTAGGGCAAGCAGGATGATTGTATTGTTGTATATAATTTTAATGTTACCATGCAACTTTTTTCTGGATGGGACTATCACACTTAATACGTATTGTTACAATGATATTATAAGTAAAATGTTATAGATAGGTTACATAAACAACATTCGATTTTCAAAAACGGCACACTTATGCACACTTGAATAAATCGTATGATACACGTTAAAGTGGGATGGCATGATTCAATAATCGCGAGTGAAAAAGAGACAATTATGAAAAAGTGTGGTTAGTTAGCCACATTTTAATGTATCACTTGATGAGCGCTTGTAACCTATCTACACCTTTTTACTTATAATATCATTGTATTGTTATGAGTGTAAATAAGGTTACCGGCGGAAGGTAGTGTCCGACTTTTACCGACTAACAACCCCCCCCCCATCCTCTCCCCGTTCCTTCTCCTACGCTAAGCCTCATTGCGCTTACCCCGCAACCCCGGCTGAACATCAGCCCTATAGGGCCCCGTCTGTGGTGGTCTATTGGCTCTCTGAGGCGCGCGCGAAACGCTACGCGCCGTACACTCGGGTCCGGTTCTGGTCGGGCGGCGAGCTACCCTTACTCGCCGTCCGCAGACCCGCGCCTACGGTGGCCGGAGATCATCTCTCGAAATAATAATAACCCGACCCGGCTAGCAATAACATATTGAACGTAACTCTGTATTTGAGAAACTTGATAATCTGTAACAAACACCTAAGTTCGTCAAGTTCCAATAAGTAAATAAGCGACCTTGTTTGCAAATGAAGGACATTTTTATTAGCTCTTAATAACGACTTAATAAAAACTTAATAAAATCACACCTTGTAACAGTGGATTTGTTTGTTCCTTAGACACCATCTCTCCTTTTCCCGCGAGTTTTTTTATGTAATAGGTCGGCAAACGAGCTGGCGGTACCTTACCTGATGGTAAGCAATCACCACCGCCTATGGACACACCCGCACAGAAGGCTTATGAGTGTGATGCGAACCTTTTGGGGATTAGGGATTTGGAGATTTGGGGATTGGGGGAGGGAAAGGATTGGGCCTCCGGTCGAGCCAATTCATTCATACCGAAGCATGCTCTCCCACACTTAGAGAATAATAGGAATCGCCTTCCCCAATATCCCCGTTGAGTAGGAGACGACTATAAAACTACACATTAAAAAAGGACCAGACAGCAGCGCTCTCTGATACACCGGAACCTTTTTAAATTTTTGTTACTTAAATCCTGTCTTTTTTTATGTCGTCGGCAAACGAGCAGACGGATAACCTGATGGTAAGCAATCAGCGCGGCCCATGGACAACCGCAACATCAAAGGAGTTGTTGTCGAGTGCGTTGTCGGCCTTTTAGGGATAAAGGTTTAGGACTAAGGACTAGGAAGGGATGGGGGAAGGGAAGGGATTGGGCCTCCGGTGATCTCACTTACACGGCGAAACACAACGCTGTCTCATGTAGAAAAGGTCTACTTTCACAAATGAGTGAACTCTCACTCGATATTTCAATGATGAGTAAAATCCCACGTAAAACTCATACACGCACGCTAATAATGTCGACTGTTCGTAGTTGAATTTACGTAGATTTGTTAAAATTTTTAAATTGTAAAATCTTAGTGGAAATTATTGTAAAAATATGTTTTTTTTGTGAATGAACCCATCATGTAGGGAAAGGAGCAAACCATAATGCAGGGAAACGATTGAAAAAAAAACTTTAGGCTTTTCAGAGAGCGCTGCCACTACGGGAAGATAAAGGAAAGTTTTTTTCCGTGAGGGGAAAATCATCAACTGGCTGCCGTGGGTTCGATTCCCGCACGAAACAACCCTTTGTGTGATCTACAAATTGTTGTTCCGGATCTGGGTGTGATGTGAATGTGAAATTGTAATTTTATAACCGCACCCACGACCCAGGAGAATTTAGGTTATTTTTTTTAAAGAAATAAACCACATTTGAAGTAATCACAGCGTTGTGTTTCACCGTGCTAATGAGGTTACCAGAGGTCCACTCCTTCCCCTCCCCGAAACCTCCCTAACCCATAAATATCCAAAAAACCGACAACGCCCTCCTAACTCTTCTGATGTTACGCGTGTACATGGGCGGCGCTGATTGCTTACCATCAGGTAATCCATTTCCTCGTAAACCATAGTCAGGAATGTATTTTCTAAATAACTGGAAAATACATATAACCTGGAAAAGTTATATAGGTACTTGCAACGTTTTAAATCCCCTCCAGCAAAGGGCTGATGTAATTTAGGCACGTATTACATTTAACTAACGCCCGTCAATGCATGTAATAAGGCCTGCAGTATGTAGTTGCAACAACAGTTTTAATATACTTGAAATTAAACATCACGTGGAGAGCCACGCTTCGGCACAATGGCTAGCTCGACCGAACTGATGCCACGGCCTCAAAAAATCGTAGAATAACTACGAAATCAGTTCAGGCCCAATCCAATGTAGGTAGGTAATCAAAAGCCTAAAATCTATATAAGGGTGTCAACGTAGGAAAAGACCTTTAATATTCATGGTCGGTGCTGATGATAATGAGAAAAAAACTAACAATTCACAATTTTTTTTGTTACTATCAACCCTCGCGCGGGTTTCTTTCGCTGCTCGGCTCCTATAGATCGTTGTTTGATGTTTTATAGCCTATACAGCACTCGGGAAAATTCTACTTATCTATGGGTGAAAAAAAATTGGAAATCCAACCAGCCGTTCCAGGGATTACCCTTTACATAAAAACGTATAAATTACAAATTTTACCTCTTCATAATATTAGTATAGATTTTTCGGAAAATTATAAAATGACTTGCGAAAGGATGTGGACTCTTACTGACTAAAAATAACCCCGTTCCTTCTCATGCTAAAAGCCGAAGCCGCGGTTACTCATTGCGCTTGACCTCTGACCCCGGTTTAATTGAACTCCTCCTTTTCTAACAACAGTGTTGTGTTTCTTCGTCAGAGTGAGGCTACTGGAGGCCCAATCCTTCACCTCCCCCAATCCCTAAATCTCCAGTCCCAGTCTCTGTCTCTGTTGTTGCGGGTGTCAATGGTCGGCGTTGATTGCTTATCATCGGTCTGCTCGTTTGCCGACATAACATATAAAAAAACCCTAAAGCAATCTCCGAATCTCCAAAAATGCAATGGACTTGTAACTCCTCTGGTCTTGACCTCTCCTCTCAACCAAGTGGTATATTAGCTGGTATGCTATCATTAATTTGTAAAAGTAATGTTTATAATAATGACAAAGATATGTACGTTGTAAAATAAAATGAGTGACACCCTACTAATACTAGGTATAGTATAAGTAAGTAATATTGTTACGCCCGACAGGGCCCACAATGCTCTAAAACTAATACATATATGTAAATCCTTATGTACCCGACCACCTAAGTTCACATTGTGGAATGCAATAAATAATGAGTATTGAGTATTGAGTTTGTAAGTATGGATAGATGGGTGATAGATCGGATCTGAATAGAATTTTTCATAAGTCAAAGTCAAAATCAAAATCAAAATCATTTATTCCAACTAAACCATAAATAGGTACATTTAAAACGTCAAAATAGAAAAGTAGTCTGTCAGTTTTTTCGTCAGTGAAGCTAGGTGCTCATTCCAAATTGTACATTCGAATGGAGAAGAACGAGCAAGAAACTCCATAGTGATAGTATTTCGGTTTTTTACTGTTTTTTAACGTTGAGTGGATGGATTTTACTCTTATATTACATAATTTTATTTAATTAAAAAGGAACAAGAAACAGTTACATTATAAAAATTACAACTAGTTAATACAAAAAAAGAGTTTAGGTTATAATGTAACCCACGGCGTTTTTCACATCATCATCATCATCAGCCTGTTGTCGTCCGCTGTTGGACATAGGCCTCCCCAAAGTTGAATCGCTGTTCACATATACCTAGGCATAATGTTTGTTAAAAATATAATACTAGCTACCGCCCGCGCCTTCGCCCGCTTGGTACGTTGATTAAAAGCAGCCTTTGTAGCTAGCCTTTTGTTAACCCAGGGTATCATCTATCTACAAGCCAAATTTAAACACACATCCATACCTATATTCTCACAAACTTTCACATATATCTAAAGTAATATGATAAAGAGGTAAAATTTGTAAGTTTGTATGTAGGGGGTAATCTTTGGAACTGCTGGTCGGATTGCCAAAATTCTCCTGTAAAACATCACGCTAGGATCAAATGGAGTCGAGCAGCGGGTGAAACTGCGCGCGAGAAGCTAGTAATATTAGGTACTTATATAGTAGGATAATAGGATTTAACAGAGATACATTAAAGTTTGAAATAACACACAAGTTTCTTGTTACGTTATTACTGACTAGATCAAATGTAAACGACAAACAGAGTAACAATTAAAAAAAAGATTCAAATTCTAAAATCACCTTCGCTTTTCAATTCCATTCGTACACCCTAAAAGTTAATAAAAAAAAAGAAAAATTCAAAAATAGAACACCCACACAACAATGTTGCCTATCAACCAATCCTGTATAACTTCGAGAAATATTACAATGCCGATACGTCGTTTAAATCGAATCCTGCGCAGTATATAAACAGACTGTGAACGCGTTAAAAGCATCAGTCTCACTTTGCAGCTGAGAGGATACACACACTCACACAACAAAAATGTTCGGAAAATTGGTGAGTAAATATTATTATTATTATTTACTAGCTTTTGCCCCCGACTTTGTTCGCGTGGAATAGTGACTTCCTTTTGATTTTTGGTTTTACTCACATAGTTTGCGATCTCGCGGGATTCTTGACAAGTTCCCGCTCCCTCGGGAATTTCTGTATAAGAAATATACTATATCCTTTCTCGAGTCCCGATATACGTCTGAACCGAATTTCACACAAATCGGTTTAGTAGTTAAGGCGTGAAGAAAAGACAGACAGACAGAGTTACTCTCGAATTTATATATTAGTTTGGATTGGTCTTCGTCTCAGTTCTTATAACGTGGGTCTCATATATGGATGGTAGGTTGATAACAAACAGCCGTTTTGTTAATCCAGGTTATCTATCTACATACAAAATTTCAATCAAATCGGTCCAGCTGTTTTAGCGCCAAGGAATAACAAACATTCATCCGTGCATTCTCACAATCTTTCAAAAAGTTTTTTCCCAGTAAAGAAATGTTTTATTATTGGGAAAAAAAATATTTTTGACTCAGATCTTACCATCATGATTATTCATGATCATCATTTTCCGTACTTCCTAGTGTCAACCAATGACATAAGCAATTTTTGACAGCCACTTTAATATGACAGACGCGTAGACAGGACAGACGGGAACTTAAGCTACGTTAGCGCCATCTGGCAAACCCGCAAAACCCGAAAGCCTTCATTGACATACCGCGTCTTCATTGAAATGTCAAAGTTGTCAACATTTTTTATTGATATCTGAATGGGTTAATTTGTCAGTAATTAATCCCAATTGACTTTAGTTTCACACGTAAACGTCAAGACCAATTCGGAAAATTATTTTATTTTGTATTCGTAAGTCTAAATAAAAGGAGGATTTTTTAAAAGATTGTTTTTAAATGTAGCAGAAAATTCGGAAAATAGAGAGATAAAATACCTTTCGATGCCTTGGTGGGTAAAAAAACAAATGACTGTCACCGACGTTGGACACCCGTACCAAGCAAGTGCAGGACGTTAGTACAATATTATTATGTGGAGCTGATATCAAATCCCCTTGCTATTATCTCAACCCTTGGACCTAAAGATTACTGTTAAAAATTTAGGATCACGTGTCTTAGAGATCCGATTTGTACGGATTTTTATTTAATACATATGTAGTTACTTCATCGTCTATTTTCACACCCGGGTGCAGAGTGGCGAAAGATAATTATATATATATATACAAACACACAGAAAACATTCGAAATCAATTTTTTTATGATATAAACATAACTATAATGGCTACTTAATTTTAATATACTTAAAAAAAACCCTTGTAATACTTTACTACCAGACTATCGGCAAAACGTCTTAGCTTCATGGCGGATATCCAATCTACACGCACGATGCGATTCGCCTCCAGTTTTATCTTGAGCACCTACTGCTGAGGAGTGGAATTCTTTGCCGGAGACTGTGTTCCCCGAAGGGTATAGATATATACCTGGGTGTCTTCAAGGCCCGAGTGAATAGGTTACTTATGGGTGCTCCATCGTTTACCATGAGGCGAGATAGTAGCCCAAAAAAATCTACCTACATCAAATAAATTATGATTGTTAAATAAGTGCTTACATTTTAATTATGCAAATGATAATTATAATGATGTATAAATTCATATAATTATGCATACACCTGTCTACTACTATTTCGTCATGTTGTTGATTAAGTGTTATGCTAATCGGTGTATTATCACGCCTCCGTGCCTCGGAGGGATATACAGCAATGATTCAGTCAGTAGTCAAACATTTAGATTGCCTATATAAATTAAACCATAACAATTTCAAAACAAGATATTATCGAAAATCTGAAATGAATTTAGACAGCTTTAATTTAAATTATGAGCTTAAACAAAATTTTATCGCCTGAAAGTTAGTACTCACGCAAGAATGTCGTTTAATTTATAATTGTTGCGTAGGTACTGCATTCATGCATAATGCCTTTGTTATTGTCACTAACCGAATACCGGGTATGGGTGTCGAAATTATTTAGTGACTAGCTTTTGACTGCCACTTTGTTCGCATGGAATAGAGACTTCCTGCAGATTATATATAAATATATTATAGATTTATGGTTTGAAAACTATCATAATATTATGTCCTTATCAAATAGGTTCAGTAGTTTAGGCGTGAAAAAAAGAAAGACAGACAGGGTTACTTTCGCATTTATAATATTAATTTGGATATACTGTCTATAGGTTCATTGTTTCAACAGTTCTGAACAGGTTCATTAAAATACCTGTAGTTCTTAACAGGTGCTGATAGTATCTAACGCCGTGGTTTAAGTCAAGTAGTAATCAATGTTATTATTTTAAACCAGCTACTCTCGCGCGATTTCACCCGCTGCTGCCCGGCTTCGTTTGATCATAGCGTGATGTTTTATAGCCTATAGCACTCAGCAACATTGTAGCTGTCTATCAGTGAAAGAATTTGCGCAATCCGACAACTTGCAAATTTACAAACATACCTACAAACTTACAAATTTTACCTCTTTATAATATTAGTGTAAATTATATTTTAGCATAAATTCATTTAAAACTTTTGTAAGGTTTTTTATTTCCAATAATTTTAGTATATACATATAGGTACTATATTTCTGTTTGAGACTTTCGGTATAGTGAAGTTCTAACGTTGTCTAAAATCGATTGATTAAATAAAAAACAATTAAAACAGTAAAAAACCTTAATTAAAATCATACCTGTTGATTTTAATTAAGGTTTTTTACTGTTTTAATTGTTTTTTATTTAAGGTTTCTTACTATTTTAAAAACGTAGTTTCAAAACGATATCGTCTTGACGCCTAATATAGGTAACCTCAAATATTAGCCTAAGTAAGCTTTGTTTTTTTCGAAAACACCCCATAAAATATTAATTTGTTTTGAACCCCCGACGCAAAAACGAAGGGTCTTGTTAGACAAGTTTGACGTGTCTGTGAGTGTATGTCTTTATGTGGCATCGTAGTAAGTGTAATAGGAATTTTACACACTCAGTTTATTTGCAAGTTTTTTGCTTTTGGGTTCAGGCTTTTCCTATAATAACTGTGTACTTTCATGTGTCGTTTTTTATATTTATATACATAACTAGCTACTCTCGCGCGGTTTCACCCGCTGCTCGGCTCCATTTAATCGCAGCGTGATGTTTTATTGCCTATAGCACTCAAGAATATTGTAGCTATCTATCAGTGAAAGAATTTTGGAAAAACGACCAGCTGTTCCAAAGATTACTGACTACAGAAACTTACAAATTTTACCTCTTTATAATATTAGTATATATAGATATATACATAATATAAATAGGCCATAAAACGGCACTTTTACATGTCATACTTACCTTTGCTTTAATGAATGTCAATAGCCATAACCTGTGCCCAATTTTCACGACTAGGGTAAATCCGGGATAGATGCGGCAGCTGGATAGATGCCCCATTTTCTAAAAACCTAACTTCGCAAAAACGTAACACAGCGATAATAGTCTAAGATTGAATACGTTGCGTCCCCCTCTCAGTGCCCCGCAGACCATCGCCCGGGATTGATGTGTTTCGCTCGTGCGTACGATTATCTCCGCGACGAACACGACGAGTGCTTCAAAGTTTCAAACGTAAGTATTTACTGTTACGTATCTTTTTTATATACTAAATAATTTTGTTCAATTTTTTTATATGTATATATTGGTTAATTAACTTTATATCTACTTATCAATAATTGACCTTTTGTATTTAGTTAAGTCAAAAAATAAAAGGGCATCTATCCATAGCAAAAAGGATAGTCGCCCCAATTTTTCGCGGTATAGGTGCCCTTAGGGGCATCTATCCCCATAACGTATACATATTATGATAGCATAATGTTTAAAATTATTATTTTTATTTAATTGTTATTGCGTTTTCATATAGATCTCTACTGATGGTTTGTAATGTTCTTTGGCGCTGTAAACCACCATTGAGTTGAAAATTTAATTATTTCAAGTATTATGTTGTGTATTGAATGTGTATTTTTTATTTGTTTCTACTAATCACAGATGAACCATGCCACGAAAATATAAAAGAAAAGAAGGAGTACGACCCCGAATAGTTTCTTGGAAGAAACACCCACAACAACATATTATAAAACTAGAGGAAAAAAACTCAAGGTTTGCCTGTAAAGAAAACAAAGAGGGATAACCAAGAAAGCCCAAAAGAAACAGACGACAACTATTATTGCGTAGAATGCTTTGATAGCTATCAACATACAAAGTCAAAGTCTGATTGGATTCGGTGCTTATCGTGCCAGAAGCGGCTGCACGAAATTTGTACACTGTTTAGAAATTATTGCTCAAGATGTGGCAAACTGAAAGCTCTTTCTAATTCGCCCTAAATTAAGGACAAAATTTAATTATGTTGATTTTTTAAAATTTAATTATGTTGATAATTGAAAATAATAGATCTCAGTTTTTTATTAAGTATTTTAAATTTTAATTTAAAATAAAATAATAAAAAAAACAAAATTTTGTTTTTTTTTTATTTCTTAAACAAGTGATTAAGTATACCATTATAACAATTACCTAAATAGTACAAATAAATAACATAACAAAACTATGTATTTTACTTATTTCAATCTATATGGCATCTATCCTACATCACAGGCATCTATCCTCCCCAGCATTTTCATAGTGAGGCGTCTATCCATATAGGTAGGCATCTATCCTCAAAAAAATGGGTTTGCAAAAACTTAATTTATGCAGAATCTGTTATTGTTAAATCAACAAAAACGAGTCGTATTGCTAGTAAAAAGATCAAACTTTTAACATTCATGGAAATTCTTCATGGATCACGTACAGTTTGAAAATTAGAGAGCCTTTTCAAAAAGTGGGGCAACTATCCCGGTTTTACCCTATGCCAAAAAGAGCGCAACCAAGTGCCAATAATAGTTTGCTCAATCTCCATTCCAAATGTAGGCAAACATATTCTTGTCGTGTCTTACGAATATTATTCCTAAATTGATTGCTTGATTAAATCGTTACCGAAACACTGCGTTGCCTAAATAACTGCGCATTGCGAATTGCAATTCTACCTACATTGCGCGTCATGCGTCACGCCCCGATTACTAACAGCGAAATGTTTAATGCACTTAATTTTCCAATAATCGGTGTAGGTAATAGGCATTCAAATTCAAAAATGGATACTTACTAGCTTCCACCCGCGCTTGGTATGTTGATAAGAAGTACCCTATGTCCTATTCCGGAGTGCATCCTATGCCTGTGCCAAAATTCATGCAGATCCGTCCAACCGTTTTGGCGTTATTGAGTAACAAACATCCAAACATCATTGTAACTTTCGCATTTATAATATTAATAAGACTTGTAAGATTTCGTTGTGTATGGTGGTCGAGGTTATGGTGGCGTCAAACTCGCCTAAACCTGAGGTTTAGGCGCTGGCTTCTCATGCATCTTGCGAGTTCGAAAATTAGCAAGTACCAATGTGACTTTTTCCAAGACATATACGTACTTTCTATGATTATTTAGACACCACTGACATACGGTGAAGGTAAACATCGTGAGGAAACCTGGACCTATACTTTCTAATTATAAGTTTGAAATCGCCAATCCGCTTTTAGCAAGCGTGGTGATGAATACAGACATTTCTAGGCTGATGACATTTTTTATGGGATGTACCGTCAAACGAGCTAGCCAGTGAGACGGATGCCAAGCAATCGACGCCACCCTACACTCATAATACCAGAGGAATTAACCCTTTATGGGTTGAAATGGATATCAGGATATGAGATTGGGGATTCGGAATAGGCGGGGGGCGAGCGATTAACTCAAACTTAAAATCATTTATTCCAACTAAACCATAAATAAGTACTTTTGAAACGTCAAAATAGAATAGTAGTCTGTCAGTCAGTCTGTTCGTCAGTGAAGCTAGGTGCTCGTTCCAAATTGTAGATTCGAATGGAGAAGAACGAGCAAGAAACTCCATCGTTACTCTTTTAAAAAAATAATATTTCTTTTACAATTTCACCAATATAACATTTAGTATACATTATTGTACCCTTATGCGAGAACAATGCAGAGACAAGTTGTAAACTCTTTGGATATAATTATAAATTAGGTAAGGATTCATTAATTTTGAGAATTTTAACTTGTAACTACTGACTATATTTGATTGGAGCCGAATCAACACGCCGCCAGGTATTCTTATCCTCAATATAATCTGTAAGTTTGTAGTATGCCTCTACACAATTCGCGTTTAATATAAGTTTTAAGACTACGGTAACCTCACTCACACGAAGAAACACAACGCTATTGCTGTTTAACGCCGATTATCAGTGAGGCTGTGGTATCACACCGGACGAGCCAAGCTATTCGTGTCGAAGCATGACTCTCCCACACTTAAGTATGATTTATCATAAATAATATCCTTGTCCACAGTTCTTCTTCTTTGCCGTGCTGGTGGTAGCTCTGGCTAGAGAATACCCAGCCGGCGTACATCCAGCTGTGTGCCCGAACTACCCGTATTGTGACGCGGACGCGCTTGCCCGCCACACCCCTGACGGCATGCCCATCCCACAGTGGGGATACCACCCTGGAGTTGCTCCAGCTGCTCCTGGGTAAGTTCAAAGTCTTCTACATCAGCTTCCACGACGTGACATTTTTTTACGTGATAAGAAGGCAAACGAGCCGACGGATTACTTGATGGTAAGCAATTAGCGCTGTTCATAGAAAGCCGCTACAAGTTATGAGTTTAGGGGATTAGTGCTTTAGCCGGGGTTTGGTCCAAAGCAGGAGAAGGAACGGGGGGGTTTTTAGTTAGTAAGAGTCTGACACTCCCTCTCGCCTTACCCTGAGCAGGAGAAGTGATGTGATGTTTTTCCCTTGACAAAAAAGGGGGATTAGTGATTCGGAGATTTTGGGATTTTGGAGGGGGGATATTGAGCCTTCAGTAACCACACTCACACGACGAAACACAACCTAATTATTGCTTCACGCCGGTTTTCTGGGTGGCTATGGTATCACTCTAGTCTAGCCGGCCAATTCGAGCCGAAACATGGCTCTCCCACACTTCGTTCTAATATTATGAACGAGACAGTTTGTAAACATGAAACTCTCTCCTGAACTTAAGCACTGATCTCGATATGTTTGTGGATGATTTAAAGAATATACTCTCAGAGTGTTTGAAGTTTTGCGAGAAGAATGCATGACTAAATTAAATAAGTAGTAATATACAACCACTCGATGAAATTTAGGTAGTTATTTTAATTTTTTTTTTATTTCTCTGCATATTAATCTGACAACCAATTCTTATTATTCACAGCCACGTTCCCGCCGCCCCGAGGTATCCCGCCGACTTCCCTCCAGCGCTCTGCCCCAACTACCCTTACTGCTGGTGAAAACCCAATACACACAAAAACCTTTTCCAACACAAAATTATGACAGCTTCACCATCTTAGAAGACCGAAGACGCTCCCAAACCTCTTTAGTAGAAACTATCCGAACGCATTTTTAATCTGTGCTTATGTCATCCATGATATTTGTATCTGTCATGTGTTCGCGCCAAAAGTAGTGTTAAATTTAATCATCTGTAGCGTCCTCATAGATACCTTGGAAATTGCAAAAAAAAAACAAAAAATGACCACTAAAATGATTTTTGTAAATTAATTGAGAAAAAAATAATGATAAATTGTATTGCATTTTTTCTCAAATATTCGAAATTTTACATGTTGGCGGCCATTTTGGTTTGAAAACTGTTTTTGTAGAAATTATTAGGTATTTTTCTATTACTTTCGAAGATTCTAAGCACTGCCATAGGTATCGTTAAGAAAATGTAAATAGATGCATTGAATCTAAGAAAAGGCTTACTCTTTGCATTTGTATTTGTTTATAAATTTTGTAAAAACGTGTGTAAAAATTTGTAAATAAACAAGATTTTTTTTATAATTTTTTGTTGTTATTTTTTACCGACCTGTGAAACAGATGCTTCAGACCACCACTTACGTACACATTTAGAAAAAAATACGTAGGTATATTTATTTAATTTCAATTTCTTATAATATTTTCTTCTTAACCATTAACTTTTGCCTCGTCATTTATACCGCGTACATTGATTGGAACAGTTTGCCGGCTGCAGTCTTTCCGTCCGAATACAATTTAGGTGTCTTCAAGGCTATAGTGAATAGGCTCTTAATATCCAAAATGTTATTCGATTTCTTTTTTCAAGGAAACACAGTTTCCTTATAACAATAAAAATATTTACAATAAAAACAATAAAACTTGATTAAAATAACGCAATCGATAAAATGCACCTCTATTACACATGTTGCTTTAATTCGTGTCACAAATCGATAAAGCCATCAAACATTAGCTAATTGCTGCATTGAAATCGGAACAAATTATCCGAAATCAGAACGTTTACAAATCCTTCACTGCTAGTCTTAGAAAAAACAAGAGAAAGAATGAAACGAAAATCATTCTCAGCATCGGATAAAGCGCAATAATATACCGCGATCTCGCTTGGAGCAGGAGAAAGGACGGAGGGTTTTTTAGTCAGTAAGAGTCTGACACTTCCTCTCCCCTCAAGCTGGGCAAGAGAAGTCATAAGAGGATTTTCCCCGACAAAAAAAACGTAAATAACTCTTGCAGTGTAGGTTTCCGCTACCTATGTCAAAACGCAACTCATGAGTAATTAATTTAAACATTGCATGTATTTTAATGAAATAACTGAACGCATTTGGTATTGCAAGGACGTGTAACGAAACGGCACGTTCCCGCGCTGTCATTTTGACAGCTGAGCAATTATGGCGGGAGAAAGTTATGGCCCTCTGTTTATTTGTACTTATTAAATTCTTAAAAAAAATCCTATGTAGCCAAAAGACTGGCAACGCAGTCGTAACTGATCTACTGTTGCGGGTGTTCATCAGCGACGTTAATTGCTTACCATCAGGTAATCCGTACTTATCACATACAAAAAAAACTGCAGTCATCTCAACTCCATCATTCCTCTACCTAAGAAGGATTTGCCATAACTTCTAAGCTTCAATGTGTATTATGAAAACCTGTCTAGAATGTTACATAATTAAAGAAAATAAGAATAAATATAAATATGGGTGTCGGAGAGCCAAGCTTCGATACGAATGGGTCGGCTGGACTGGAGTGATACCACGGCCTCACAGAAAACCGTCGTGAAACAACCTCAGGGTTGTTTCGCCGTGTGAGTGAGGTTACCGGAGACCCAACCCTCCTCCTCTCCCCATCCCTTCCCAATCCTTTCGGATTTTAAATATCGGAAAACCCTTATTCCTAAAAGGCTGATACAACACACTCGTAACTCGGGAGTCTATGGGTGGCGCTGATTGCTTACCATCAGGTAATCCGTATGCTCGTTTGCCGAAATATATCATAAAAAAAGAAAGACACCATTAGATTCTTCTTAAGAGTTCTTCTTTTACTTCTGACACCATGTAATATGAATAAAAGACTTGAATCTTGGATACTTTAATAGCACAGTACACAGTCAGGCAGCTCACTGCACCAGAGTTACATTGTCAATGGCCGACACTATCATATATTCTCGACCAACCTATTTTTTTTTTATGTAATAGGTCGGCAAACGAGCAGACGGATTACCTGATGGTAAGCAATCAGCGCCGCCCATGGACACCCCCAACGGAGGAGTTACGAGTGCGTTGCCGACCTTTTAGGGATTAGGGATTTGGAGATTTAGGAACTGGGGAGGGATTGGGAAGGGGAAGAATTGGGCCTCCGGTAACCTCACTCACACGGCGAAACACAACACTGGTTGTTTCATGCCGGTTTTCTGTGAGGCCGTGGTATCACTCCGGTCGAGCCGACCCATTCGTGCCGAAGCATGGCTCTCCCACACTTGACTTATAATAGACGATGACAAAGACATTGACAGTACAAAAAATACCTTTAGTCAGTGCCAATGATACCCGCTGCAATTAGACGTGGTCACAAAGATATTCCGCTCTGCCATCAGTAAACGGCACGGTTGATATATTTCACGCATCATTCCACTCGACCTTGCTAATGATATGTGGGGGCTGGTGGCTGGTATTATGCGAAACGGTAACAGCCAGTTATAATTTTTTCTTTATAGAACATAATTATATTTTTTTTTATGTAATTGGTCGGCAAACGAGCAGACGGATTACCTGATGGTAAGCAATCAGCGCCGCCCATGGACACCCGCAACGGAGGAGTTACGAGTGCGTTGCCGACCTTTTAGGGATTAGAGATTTGGAGATTTAGGAACTGGGGAGGGATTGGGAAGGGGAAGGATTGGGCCTCAGGTATTATTTATTAATTTTAGTTTTATTAGTATCAGAATAGCTACGAAGTGGACTTTTGCCAAAGCTTGTGTTCCCCGAAGGGTGTCTTCAAGGCTCGAGTCAATAGGTTGCTTATGGGTAAGCGTACTCCATCGTAGGTCTCATCACCATTTACCACCAGGCGTGATAGCGGCCAAATGCCACTTTATTACTAAATTAAAATCCAATGGATGGTTGGAAATTGGGTACTGAACCGACAATTCGTATGAGTGAGATTCATCATCAGCCTATAAGTGCCCCCTGCTAAGCAGATACCTCTTCTCACACGGAAAGGTTAGAGCATGTGAGTCAAGCAGTGATTTCAAACTTATAAGTCCAGGTTTCCTCACGATGTTTACCTTCACCGTATGTCGATTGAGATTATCGGAGGCCTAATCCTTCCCTCCATTCCATTCCCAACTGTCAAATTCCCTATCCCTACAACCCTAACCACTCACGGTAAAAAGAGGCCAGCAACACAATTGTAGTAATTTCTTTAGTAATGCGAGTGTCCATGGGCGGCCCCGATACTCACAGAAAACCGGCGTGAAACAACTCCAACGTTGAATATTGCCATGTAAGAGACGATATCGGAGCGCCGAATCCGAAACCCTAGTCCCGAAAAGGTCGGCGACGCACTCGTAACTCCTATGGTGTCTATGAGCGGTGCTGATTGTGTGAGCTTACAATCAGGCAATCCGTTTGCCGTCATATCGAAAAGAGTGAAAGTATCTGATATGCCAAATATGCGCCAAAACAAAAGTATGTAGAAAAATAAACCAAAAATTAATTCTTGTTTCTCTCTTCACTACCACAATCCACCAAAATGTCACATATCAATAATAACGTCTTTGTAATCTGGCTCAACGTCTGGCATTCGCTTCCTGCAACATTAAACTTTTTACTCGCACGTCCTATGTGACATGTGATTGAGATAAATGTACCTCGTTCTCGCATCTAAGCCTTACTTATTTGGCCATTTCAAATTTACAGGGTGTCAAATTAAAATGTCAAACGAATTGTCATGTGATGTATTGTTATTGGTATCGTGAAAGAACCTGTCCGCACAACTTTGTGAACCATGGTATACTTAAAGGTTTTTGAGAGGAAAATCATCAAATAAACGATTTCTTCCGTCAAAGAGTAGGTATGTTGTAATATCACTAATTAGTATTTAGGAGTGAGAGCAGGGTTTCTTCTTGTAATTAACTCGAGGCTGTCGTGGTTTGGAATGAATTTATTCGGCACAATGTCTCTACTAATATTTACAATTCTTATGGCTAACTTACACGCTATCACACATAGGTATATATCATCTACCAATAGCAGCGCGCGTTTATCGCAAGGCTCGGCAGAGCGGCTGCGCGCATGCGCCGTCGCGGTCGCCGTTCGTCGTGATGTCGCGAGCACAGCGCGAGGCTATAATAGGGCGCGTGCCGCGAGACGCGTCCTTTCGCTCCGGTGCCGCCGACGACTACAGACGCGTCCAGTGTCGTGGACCGCAACTTCGTGTCTTCGTGTGCTTCGAGCTTCGCTTCTGCTTGCTTGCCTGCTTATTTGCTTGCTCATTATATTTCGTTTCTGAGCAGAAGTCAAAAACGTTTTAAAACGTCTTTTTCAAGACGAGTTTCTGTCAGCAGAAGTCGAAAACGTTACAAGCGTCTTTTTCAAGACGAGTTTCTGTCAGAAGTCTAAAACGTTTGCAACGCCTTTTTCAAGGCGGCCTGTTTCACTGTTTCTGATCACAGAAAGTCAAAAACGAAGGTATTGGTTTGTTGTTCACGGAGGTATGGTAACGGTAATTTGGTTCTTCAAGGAGGTACGGTAATGGTTATCTGGTAATAGGTATGAGGTGTGGTGGTTATGCCATAGACTGTAGGTATGTATGCCGCTATATCACTCCCCCCTAAGCGAAGCGTACGTTTGGTTTCACTGTACGGCCGGTGCGGGTGACGTAGGCGTCGCGGGGTGGGGTGAATGACATTGTCCGTGCGTCGTTACTTGTAGTTGTAGGTAGATAGGTCGATGTTTGTTCGCGCGCAGTTGCGGTAGGTACATAGTCTTGCTGTTGGCGCGAAGTCGTTGTAGGTATCTTGTCTTGTTGTTGGCGCGTAACTGATGTTGATATGGTGTCGTCTTCGTTGAGTAGATATGCTGGTTTGAGTCTGTCTATTGAAACAACTGCAGTACGTGGATACATTTGTATGGTGAAATGCTTGCTTTCGCGCCGAAGTACTTTGTAGGGGCCGTCGTAGGGAGGTACTAGCGGGCTGCGCACGGTGTCATTGCGCACGAAAACATGTGTACACGTAGCAAGGTCTTTGTGTACAAATGACCTTGTGGAGTTTGAGTGTGGCTTGCTGTTCGGCGATAATGTAGACATCGTTTCGGTCAGCTGACGGACGAATTCGGCGTCATCGATGTTCGGCTGAGTAGGCACGAAGAAATCAGATGGTACGCGGAGTGTTGAACCGTAGGTCATGAGTGCCGGGCTGACTTCATTGTCTTGTCGTAATGCTGTACGTAGGCCGAGTAGCACAGTTGATAACTCGTCGCTCCAGTTTGTGCGCGCGCATCTCGCCATGAGTGCTGACTTTAAAGTACGGTGCCAGCGCTCGACTTGTCCGTTTGCTTGAGGGTGGAAAGCTGTAGTGCGTATTCTGTTTATTCCACATTTCTTCATAAGCGCCTTAAACAGTGACGACTCGAACTGTCTTCCCTGGTCGGTCGTAAGTCGAAGCGGGCAACCAGATCTTGATATCCACCCGTCGTAGATAGCCTTGGCGATCGTGTCGGCGGTGATATCGCGTACTGGTATAGCTTCAGGCCATTTTGTGCAGCGGTCAATCATGGTGACTAGATATCGGTAGTCATTTGACGGCGGCAGTGGTCCCACGATGTCGACGTGAATATGTTCAAAACGCTGGGATTTTCCGAACTCGCCGAGCGGGCTGATAGTGTGCCGCTGTACTTTCGCTCGCTGACAACCGATGCAAGCTCTTGCCCATGTTCCGACTTCTTTGTTCATGTTCGGCCAGAAGAACTTTGTAGATATTATTTTTCTAGTAGTGCGTACGCCTGGGTGACTTAAATCGTGTTGCGCTTTGAATGCGACAAAACGATATTTCGCGGGTAAATACGGACGAATGTTGCCTGTCGATGTTTCACAGATAAGCGGACGTTGACCTCCAGGTAGTGAAATACTGGTGAACTGTAGGTTTGGATGTGACATGTATCTCTGTAGTTCTGGGTCGTTTTCCTGGTCTTGAGCGAGTTGATTGTAGTCTATGGATGTTTCTGTTAGGTCGATCTCTTCTATGCGTGATAAGGCGTCGGCCGCTTCGTTGTTATCACCGTGTACGTACTTTATTTTTGAACAAAACTGACTAATGACGTGAAGTTGTCGTTCTCTTCGTGATGTGTCGCTGGTACTCGGTGATCTTGTTAGTGCATAGGTGAGAGGTTTGTGGTCGGTATATATCGTAAGGTCGTTGCCTTCTATTAACCTACGAAGGTGTTTGACAGAAATGTACATCGCTAATAATTCGCGATCGTACACACTGTAACGTCGCTGCGTCTCGCTCATTGTTTTTGAGAAAAATGCTAGAGGTTTCCACACGTTGTCTACTTGTTGTTGCAGTACGGCGCCGATGCTTGAGTTTGAGGCGTCGGTATATAAGCGTAGCGGCGCGCTATGTATCGGGTGCGTGAGAGTAGTAGCGTCGAGGATGCTTTGCCGACATTTCTCGAAGGCTAGCTCTGCTTCTGGTGTCCACGTTATCGGAGTCTTATCTTTTTTCTTAGTGTTATGTAGATATTTATTTAATTCATGTTGGTATTCGGCTTGATGGGGTAAGCAGCTGCGGTAAAAGTTAATCATGCCGAGGAATCTTCTTAAATCTTGAATTGTTTGTGGTTTTGGGTAGTTAACTATTGCTTGTATTCGGTCTTGAGTGGGTTTGATTCCTTCTGATGAAACTTCGTATCCAAGAAATTCGATGTTTTGTTTGTCGAACTCGCACTTATCGATATTTAGACTGACGCCGTAGGTATTTAGGCGTTCCAGTACTATTTCGATGTGACGTCGATGTTCGTCTTGATTTCTCGAGTGCACAAGTAGATCGTCGACGAAACAAAACACTATGTCGTCGAGTCCTCGTAGTACTTCGTGCATAAATCGTTGAAATGTTTGTCCTGAGTTTCTTAGGCCGAATGTCATGCAGTTGAATTCGAAGAGGCCAAACGGAGTTATTATTGCGGTTTTCTGTGCGTCTTCTTTAGCAATCGGAATCCAGAAGTATGCCATCTTGAGGTCGAGTTTCGAGAATATTTTCTTGCCGTGAAGTTGGTAGGTAAAGTCTTGTATTCGAGGTATAGGGTATCGATCGGGTACTGTAACAGCGTTTAGTCTTCTGTAGTCGCCGCAGACTCGAAGTGAACCGTCTTTCTTCTTGACGACGTGCAGTGGACTTGCCCAAGGACTGTTAGAGGGTCGGCAGATACCCATCTCGATCATGCGCTCGAATTCAAGTTTTGCCGCCTTGTATCTGTCGGGCGGTAGGGGTCGCGCTCGTGAGTATATAGGCGGTCCGGTTGTCTCGATGTGGTGTGTGACGTCATGTTTCACAGGAGTCTTCAATGACATAGGTCGCAGAACATCGGGATACTTCTTTAGTAGGTCGTGATAAGCGTGATCGCGGTTGACCATGTAGACGGTTTCTTGCTCGGTGCCGTTGATCTTGATCGCGTTAACACTAAGTTCTGTGATGCGGTCGATGAGTTTTCTGTGATGCAGGTCGACTAGTAATTGGTGATGTACTAGGAAGTCTGCGCCCAGTATAGATGTGTTCACGTCGGCCACGACGAATGTCCACCTGAATCGTCTTCGTAGGCCTAGGTTGAGCTCGAGTGTGCGCTCTCCGTAGGTACGAATCTCGGTGCCGTTGGCCGCGAACAGTTTGTATGAGGTCTTCGCCGGCTTGATGTGTTTTTTATTTCTTGCAGATAGGACTGATATGTCTGCTCCCGTGTCGACAAGAAATTTCTCTCGGAGGTTGATATCTATGATACAAAGTCGGCGGCTCGTTTGGTTTACATCGACGCCCGCCAACGTCGATGTACTTTTTAGTTTTCCCGCTTTTTTGAACACGGCGATTCGCATTTGCGTGCTTGGTCGCCGAATCGGTAATGGTAGCGACACACCCAATTCGGGTCGCCGGGCTTGATATTGTTATGCGTGTGATGTCTGGATCTTGATTGGGATCGTGAACGGTTGCGGTGTGGAAAGCGCGGGAAATGTCGGTGGTTTTGCTGGTTGGTACGGAGTTCGGCGATTTCAAGTGATAGCTTTTCTATTTGTTTCGACAGTAAGGCGATGTGTAAGTTGTCTTGACATGCTGTTGCTGTGGAGACTGCGTTGACGGATGCTGGCTTGAAGTGCTCCATCATTTTGTCAGCCATTGCGGCTAGCATCTCGAGTGATGACTCTGTGTTGACGGAGAGTACGGCGCGTATTTGAGCTGGTAGTTGATTCAGCCACATTACTTTAAGTGCCTCGTCGGACAGGAGTTTGCCGCTGAGGTCACGCATCTTGCGGAGTAGCTGGCTCGGTTTTTGGTCGCCGAGCTCGAGACCACTCAGCAGTTTCTGTAGCTGGCGATGGTCAGACTCTTGATACGTGGAGATCAGCCGTTCTTTCAGTGTGCTGTACTTGCCGGTTGCTGGGGGGCTTAAGATGATGTCGGCGATCTGTTCAAGGTCGTTGTTGCCGAGCAATGGTACGACGAGGTTAAACTTCTGCTCTTCTCCTATTTTGCTGGCGGCAACAGCTGCCTCGAATTGCGCAAACCATAGGCGAGGATTTTGGCGCCAAAATGGTGGCAATCTGGCGGGCAGGGATATTGTCGCCACGTCGCTCTGCACTGTCGTTACGCCGTGGGCGTCGCTGAATTGTTCGCTGGCCATATTTCTTCTGACTTGCAGGGATTTGCCGTATTTACTTGTGTTCTTTTTCTTCAGGAGGGTCACCAATTTAGGAGTGAGAGCAGGGTTTCTTCTTGTAATTAACTCGAGGCTGTCGTGGTTTGGAATGAATTTATTCGGCACAATGTCTCTACTAATATTTACAATTCTTATGGCTAACTTACACGCTATCACACATAGGTATATATCATCTACCAATAGCAGCGCGCGTTTATCGCAAGGCTCGGCAGAGCGGCTGCGCGCATGCGCCGTCGCGGTCGCCGTTCGTCGTGATGTCGCGAGCACAGCGCGAGGCTATAATAGGGCGCGTGCCGCGAGACGCGTCCTTTCGCTCCGGTGCCGCCGACGACTACAGACGCGTCCAGTGTCGTGGACCGCAACTTCGTGTCTTCGTGTGCTTCGAGCTTCGCTTCTGCTTGCTTGCCTGCTTATTTGCTTGCTCATTATATTTCGTTTCTGAGCAGAAGTCAAAAACGTTTTAAAACGTCTTTTTCAAGACGAGTTTCTGTCAGCAGAAGTCGAAAACGTTACAAGCGTCTTTTTCAAGACGAGTTTCTGTCAGAAGTCTAAAACGTTTGCAACGCCTTTTTCAAGGCGGCCTGTTTCACTGTTTCTGATCACAGAAAGTCAAAAACGAAGGTATTGGTTTGTTGTTCACGGAGGTATGGTAACGGTAATTTGGTTCTTCAAGGAGGTACGGTAATGGTTATCTGGTAATAGGTATGAGGTGTGGTGGTTATGCCATAGACTGTAGGTATGTATGCCGCTATAAGTAGGTACCTTAGGAATGATCTTCCGGCAGCGGTATTTCCGAACCGATACGACCTTCAAACCTTCAAGAAACGAGCATATTCCTTCTTAAAAGGCCGGCAACGCACCTGTGACTCCTCTGGTGTTGCGGATGTCCATGGGCGGCGCCGATCGCTTTCCATCAGGTGATCCGTCTGCTCGTTTGCCACCTATTCCATAAAAAAAAAGAAAAAAAAAAACCTACGTCACTATAACTTCCGTTGTTATCTGTAATTGTCATTTGTACATTGATTATCTGTGTAACTATGGTGCAACCGACGGCACGATTGGTGCGGTGGCTGGGCAACTGGCTGTCGTGCAACGTGTCGCGGTTTCAATTCCCGCACGGAACAACTCTTTGTGTGATTCACAAATTGTTGTTCCCGGAACAACTCACACAACACTGGGTGTTTGGTGTTTTAGAGGGATATTGTGGGATTATGTTGTAAAATAAAACTCAAGTAAATCAAGATCCAGGACTTTTCAAAGTACAATTGAAACAGCTACACAGCTACAGCTACTAAGTCTAGTAGCTGTTTATTTCTAAGTCGCTCTTCTGATCTAACTTAACCTAATCTGGCAGAAACACGGTTTTTGTTTAAATTCTTTTATCTTTTACATACGGTCTGACTGCCGTAAAAATTCTGCTATTCAATCAAATGGCTAGTCATTTACTGTCCCCATATCATCTATTCAACAAACTAGGCCGGTAATTTAATTTAATAAAATTAAATTTAATAAAATTTAATTTAATAAAATTAAATTAGCAAGCTAATTTAATTTTCATAGTTGTGCTATATCATGTGTCATATAAAATAAATTAATCCAAGACAAATGTTGGTTCAAAAAATCGTTAAATAGTAATTTTACAATATAAAAGACACTGTGGCCTGTCTTCCATCGGGGATCAACACGGGATGGACCTTATTATAAGGCCTAGTCTTCTTTAAGCCCCTTTCTTTCGCCTTAGCCACATTATCTTCCATCAGTTGAATGCTATATTGTTCATTTAAAAGTTTCCTCAAAGTTCTTAAAATCGTCGATGACATTTCATCGCCATCTGTCATGGCGTCCAGTTTGACAGCGATTTTGGCGCAATTCTCCGATGACATCTGTCAAAGTACACCATAACCGAATGATTTTAAGTCCTTACTTGAATATTTTGCGAGACTGTTATGTACAGTATCGACTTGTATTTTAATTGTTTAGATAGTTGTTAGTCAAAAGACATAATAAATAATATACTAGCGCTGCGCTTTTATATATATATCGCATGTTTAAGTAGGGTAGTTATATTATAAACCTGTAAGTACCTATATTAATTATTATATTGCAATCTTACGGTAACAGGGTAGTTTTCTAGGTCAAAAATAAATTAATCGACATTTCAATACAATACAATACTGTGAAGTAAACGAATCTGTCGATTCACTATATCGTCGTATCGTCTTAAGTTGGAAACTAACGTACCTTGCGGAAAAGATTCGTAGCAGATTTAATTTCGGTGGTTTTAATAAGTATTTGATAGTAGGTATAGAACTTTCCCCAAATTTATGTGTAGTCATTTAGTCTGCCATTAGTCTGTAAAAAATTTAAAACAAACACAATGTTACCTTTTGTATCATAGGCCGTAATCTCTCCAGTTCCTTGTTAGTCTTGCTATCCTCATTCTGAAGGTGTTTGGAACGCAACCAGCTATAGTTGTTACCACAATGCTGTAATTTAATTTCTCGAACTTTCGATTCTTTCAGTAGCATTTCCGCCTAAAATATTTCATATCAAGTCACTACATTAGGATATTAATTATTACCCTAGCGTACGGCGCGTAGTGTTCCGCGCGCGCCTCAAAGAGCCAATAGACCACCACAGACGGGGCCCCATAGGGCTGATGTTCAGCCAGGGTTGCGGGGTAAGCGCAATGAGGCACCGCGACCTCGGCCCAGAGCAGGAGAAGGAACAGGGGGGTTTTTAGTCAGTAAGAGTCTGACACTCCCTCCCGCCCGACCCTGGGCAGGAGAAATCATTTGATGATTTTCCCCTCACAAAAAAAAGCTTCGCACCTGCAATGCTGATAATTATACTATAATAGATAATACTATAATAGATAATAGATACTATAATACTATAATAGATCTCATTTTACATAAAGATACTTTCTCTTAAAGAAGTTTATCTATTAAAAAGAAACTGCAACAAAATCCGTCGCGTAGTTTTAAAGATTTAAACACACATATGGATAAAGGGACAAAAAGGCGACATTGTTTGATATTATTATATTCATGTTCGAAGTAGTTATCAATAAAAGTAATTTAACTATGGGGATTCATACTTCGGCGTTAAAAGCCAGAGTCGAAACTACCTTTACATTGTTTTTTACCGTGTGAGTGACCTTTACGGTGGCCCAATCCTTACCCTGGCTTATCCCTTCCAAATCCTTAACTTCTAATCCCCAAAAGGCCGGCAACGCACTCGTAACTCCTTTGGTGTTTGGGGGTCTCTATGGGCGGCGCTTTTTTAAGCGGCGATTGCTTACCATCATGTAATCCGTCTGTTTGTTTGCCAACTTATATCATAAAAAGCTTCATAAATATTAGAACAATTAAGTACATTGTAATTGGTACAATGATTATGATAAAACTGTAGTAAAAATTTACGAACTTACATATTGAAATAAATCCATTGGAGAAAAATTATTTTCGGCGCTGACCATTTTTTTTTTTTTTTCTTTAAAACGTCAACTTTGGTAACCAGGTATACTCGTATAAGTATTACTGAATTCCACAATACTATATCATTAAATGACATTGAACTTTTAATATCCATATATTTATTGGGCACAATTTACCAGGGCCGCATTTAGGGGCTTGTATCAATTTGACAATTTATCTTATCGTATCACTAGTTAAACGACAAGACGCCACCATTTATCATTGTGGGGACCACACTTTTGTGACCTGCTTGGGCTGAGCATCGCATTGTCCTCAGAGAAGTGATCGGCAGCGACGACCTCTCGAGAGCGGAGAGCGGGGGAAAAGACTAGGAAGCCATCTCCTTTTTCCGAAAAGTAGTGATGTTTGCAAAAGAGGAGGGTGAACTGAGGGAATGTGGAAGGCTGTCCTGGTCACGCTCCAGCAGCCGCCGTGGACGACACTCCTGGCAGGATTTGTCAGTGAGCAAGAGTAGCTCGCTGCCCAGCCTGAACTAGACCCGACTGTGCAGCGCGTAGCGTTCCGCGCCAGAAAGAGGCAATTAATAGACCATTACAGACGGGGACCTACAGAGCCAATGATTAACCGGGGATACGGATCAAGCATAATATGGTACCACGGTGAAGGTTCAGGGTGGTTTTAGTCAGTAAAACTCTTACACTTTCTCTCTGCCCACCCAAGACTCTCCTGCAAGACCCAATAGACCACAGACAGGGCCCTATAAGCGCAATGAGGTAACGCGGCCTCGGCCTAAAGCAGAAGAAGGAACGGGAGGTTTTTAGTCAGTAAGAGTCTGACAATCTCTCTCGCCTTACTCTAGGCGAGAGAGGTCATTGGATGATTCTCCCCTCAAAAAAAAGCATCTAAATACGGCCCTGTTTGAAACTGATTTTTCACTTTATCATAGATAGTTCTGATAAAACGAACGAATATTTCATTAAGTAGGTATATTTAATTAAAATGAGGAAGCCACAATAAATCATTTTTATCTATCCACTTTATTTGTTTTGATTCTATTTCATTTTAATTAATTATTTCTAGTATCAGCCCGAGCCATGACATCGTTGTGGCCCGGACAGGCACCCGCTTCGCTTGCATTAGAGTGTGGCTTCGGAACCTAGTAAGTAGCAATGTCAGTTTATCCAAGGCATATAAGTAAGTAATATGTTATTTTTAACTGTATTTAGACACCACTGACATACGGTGAAAGAAAAAATCTTGGGAAAACCTAAAACCCCCCGTTCCTTCGCCTACTCTGGACCGAGGCCGCGGTGCCTCATTGCGCTTACTCCGCAACCCCGGCTATACATCAGCCCTATAGGGTTAAAGATGGGGGTCTGTGGTTGTATATTGGGTATTTTAGACGCGTACGAAACGCAACGCCCCTAGCGCAAATAGTACAATATATATATAGCCCGGTGTGGTGCCTATTGTGGCAACTGAGACGTGAGGAGGAGGACGATAGGTCCCTCACGCACTCCACCAAGCATGCAGCCAACAATGCACCACTACCGAGATTCTTAAAATAATGAGCAAAGAGTATGATAACACAAAACCGCAACCTATTTCGTCTTAAATCATAAAAATAAATAATATTCTAGAACCAACCTTCTTCTAAAAAAGTTTAGTTTCATAGGTGCTTACCATAGATACGCTTCAATGTCTATCAAAGTGTCAAAATCTAACTCTCCCATGAAAAATTACAATGCAGTGGTAGTAAATCGATAAAATTGTAAAAAAATCATGGCAATTAATATAATGGAGAACAAATAATAAAAGAAAACTAGTCGAAATGTCACGTTTTTTGAGTAATTCGCGAACGACAACCAACATCATTACAAATGCCGAAAGAAAAAAACCTATTGAAGATTATTACGTTATATTAGCTCTTAAATGCATAGCTAGAAGGTTCACTATCTGTTTTAAATCCATATGCTGTTTTCCTTTAGAAAAAATAGTGCCAATTGGTAAAAGACCAAAGCTCTTCGTACCTCAGTCGTCGCAAATATCGGCCACATTCAAAGTTCCAGAACTCAAAATTCAAGTGATTCCACAGTCAAGGTTGTCAATAAATGAATCGGTAAGATCTAACACAGACTTCACAACTCGCAAGTCACTTAAAAAAATCAAATCTAAAAAGTTTAAATGCAGAATGTTTGAAAGAATAAAGAAAATGAACGATGCCTCAGGTTCGAGTATGATTAAAAGCAATGCTAAAAAAAGTAAGAAGAAAATGTCTAAACCAAATGTTCGAAGCGAGAAAAAATGGAAAAAACTTTTGAGAAAAACTAACCCGAGCTCATTGGAAACGACGAATGAGGCAAAAGCGCGGCAAAATTTGACAGGTCCGTGCACAGATAATGAAGTTTCGGGCGGCGATGGTCCCGTCACGCCGAATATTTCTCGCTATTTTAAAAAAGGGCCGCTAAGATGGATTGCCCTGAAGCAAAGCAATTTAAGCGATTCTTACCTTAATATAAAGATTAACGATTCCGTTGCATCACGCCCGACAAATTGAGCTAGTTTAAATTGCTTTTGTATCTGTAAAAGTTTCTTTTTAATAAACCGCAACCACACAATGTTATTTTCCTTCGAAGGGCCTTATGAGGGGTAATCTTTTTTGTGCTCTTTTTCCTACCCTTAGTGGGGGGAACGGGAGTGTCAGACTCTTCATCATCAGACTATAAGTGCCAACTGCTGAGCAAAGGCCTCTTCTCACATAGAGAAGATTTCACATTATATAATAATGTCAAATTATACCTAGTTAGATAAGTTTAAAATCACCAATCCACCCTTAGCAAGCCACACCTCTACTTCCCCGCGATATTTCTTCACCATATGTCAGTGGTGTCTAAATAACCATTGAAAGACCATAGATATAGCTGTGAAAGTCACATGGGTGGTTATGGGTGCTTGTCAGGCTTGGTACTCGCACCCTCATGCATGAGGACCCGAGTGTCCACTCCCAGTCTCTTACTGACTAAAAACCCTTACGTTCCTTCTCCTTCTCTAGCCTGGGGCTGCGTTACATTATTGGGCTTGCTTTCGGAAGCCCGGGCGAAAAAGAGTAAGGTCCTATTTGGCAACTACAAAATTTCTTAATTTTTCAACAATTGGATTGCCATATTAATACATAGTGAATATAGGATTGCCATATATTGGGAGAGCCAAGCTTCGGCACGAATGGGTCGGCTCGGCCGGAGTGATACCACGGCCTCACAGAAAACCGGCGCGAAACAACCACAGCGTTGTGTTTCGCCGTGTGAGTGAGGTTACTGGAGGCCCAATCCCTAAGAACCGGCGCTCACTATCGGTGGGCATCGGCAGTATATATTGTATAGTCTATGGGCATCGGTGCGGCTCAGTACAGCTCGAGCGCTTTACGCCGGTTTCGGGCGGCTTTGGGCGCCTTAAAGCTGCGTCGGTAATTTCTAAATCCCTATTCCCCAAAAAGTCTACAACGCACTCATAACTCCTCTGTTGTTGCGTCCATGGGCCAACTTATCACATAAAAAACATACATCGATTCACCAGGACCGGAGCTGTTTCTGTGCGGGTTAGTCGTCAACCCGTTCAGACCTGACTGGGTGAAGTGGGTCAGATTGTCGACTCATACCAAGTAAAAATCCCCATGTTTTTATGGTATAGGAGGCGAGCGGAGGGAAACGAGCAGTCTGATCACCTGATGGTAAGCGATCGACGCCGCCCATGGACACCCGTAACACCAGAGGAGTCACAGGTGCGTTGCCGGCCTTTTAACAAGGTGTACGCTCGTTTCTTGAAGGTTTGAAGGTCTTATCGGTTCGGGAATACCGCTGCCGGAAGATCATTCCAAAGTTTTGCTGTGCGTGACAGAAAGTTTCGCGTGAATCGCACAGCTGTTGACTGCTAACCATCTATGACAGATTCTATGTGATGGGGATGACATGTTTTCGCGTGGAATGATGGACAAAAGATGCGGCGGGTATCAAACCGAACAATTCCTCAGAACACTTTCATGTTTCAACTCAACTATACATATATATCCCCCTGTAAGAAAATAGGGTTTT